GAGTTCACTGGAAAGTAACATAAGCAATGATTTCTTTTCTTAAAGCTTGTCTAATGCATCCTTTAATTTCAGCCTTGCTGTAGCAGAGCCAAAACCACTGGTCCAACCTGAAGCATTCCCTGCATACACTGTGATTGCATGGTGAGTACAAAACCATTCTATGGTCCAGATGAACCTTTAAAGGTGGTTTCTGCTGAGGCCACCTTTCTCTGTTCAATGTGTGCTCAGTTTTAATGTATCTTCAAAGGTTTCTTAGGCTTACTGGGTTGAGTACATCTCATATAAGCTATCAGTTCTTCAACTCTTCATACAGCAGATGATAGAGCATGAAGTAGCTACACTGGATCCACCATTAAAGACCAGGTTGGACAGGACCTTTAGTGGCCTGGTCTAGTGTGAGATGTCCCTGCCCATGGCAAAGGGTTGGAACTGGATGACCTTAAGGTCCTTTCCCACCCTAACCATTCTGTGATTCTAATTCTCGGCTGGGCTGGACCATCTTCTCCATAGGAGAAGGCTCATAGAACTTCCTTGCGTTTGTCTGGGTCTCTGAGGAGTTATGTGTGCTGATGAGAACTACTTCAAAGTGTTTTGTTGAATTTATTTTTTGGTTAACTAGTTTTTTGCTGTGTGTTTTGCTTCTATTTTTTTTCCTAACAAACCTCGGAAAAAATATTCTTACTAGTTCTATCTAGAAGAAAACTTCAAATTGAGCGGTTTCCATGTTGGAGTTCCTGGTTTTCATTGAAATGTGCTGCTACCACTAATGGCAGGTGCTGACAGGATTGGCTGAAGTGTCTGATCCTCTTTTCAGGGGTCTGACTCTGGAGTGCCTTGTAATTAAATGGTTTAGTGCACACAGTCTAATTACTATAGACTGACAATCAAACAGGATGACTCAGCCAGCCCCAGCCCAAACTCCTTTGGTTTTTGAGCCATGTGGTTTGTTTGCATTTCACAAGTGACAAGAGAAAGCAGTTAAAAACTATAAAAGCAGCTTCTGGCTTGGAATGTTCCTCTGGAAAACTAAAAACCGACCCTGCAGAACTTCAGACATGGTCACGGTGCCCTCATGTGGGTTTATCTTTGACCCGAGATAGTTTACAGTACAGAGAGGAGAGGCAAAGGGTTTAGCACGTTACTACTGCAGGGCTGTGCAGTTCACCTTCATGGGGAAGACTATTCTCCCCCTCCAAAGAAACCCCAAACAGTAAGAAACCCTACACAGAGGTAGACCAGAGCCTGTGAAAGCTCTTTGCTTACTTCAATGCATGTCAGCCAGATTTGGGCTGATTTTGCACAGAAGCAACTAAGAGCTGCTCTTCTGGCTGGGACAGGGAAGCAGGCAGTGGTGGGCACAGGCAGATTGCAGGCAGCTCTTACTGCAGCAGTTGCCCAGCAGTGACCTACTGGAATAGGGAGCAGCATGAGTGACTGTAAACATAACTGTATTGTTTGACAAAGCCCGGATTAACGTGATGAAAGCAAAGTTTTGGGGTGAACTTCAACCAAAGTCTGACTGGGGGAAGCTGATGGCTGCATCTCAGGTGTGACAGTTGCGCTCCCTTGTCTGCAGAGTGAAGAGCAGCTCTTCTGCAGGCAGGACATCTTCAAATGGAAGGGATGAATAACTAAAGCAATGAATACTGACCATGTAGCACTTGCAGGCAAGTGCACTCTTCCTGCTAGCCTGAAAATGTGAGCATCCATGAGAAATAAAACAGAGCTCTGCAAGGTGGTGTCTTTTGCCTGTAAGGCTGGGAGTGCCGCTGTTGTCCAGGGAAACTCCTCTCGTGCATCCTTGACCTCTCAGACTGCCGGCTGCAATCCAAGAAAATAAGAAGAAGTGGGGAGAAAAAAAAAGTTATTCATATCCTCTGTTTCTTTCTTTAGATGTTTAAGAAGTAATTTAAAGATGTTTCTATTAGGATATTTCATTAGGAAGCATTTCATTACCAAGAGGGTGGTCAAACACTGGAAGAGGCTTCCTAGAGAGGTGGTTGATGCACCAACCCTGTCAGTGTTTAAGATGTATTTGGACAATGCCCTTAATAACACGCTTTAAGTTTTGGTCATCCCTGGAGGGGTCATGCAGTTGGAGTAAATGATCACTGTAGGTCCTTTCCAACTGAAGCAGTTTATTTCTGTTGCATTTTTAACTGAACCAGTCTATAGATTGGGTTTTGGGAGACAGTAGGTTCTGTAGTGTTCTGTAGCAATAGCAGAGACCTCAAGTTATCCTGCTAAAGTTGTGTAACCTGCATGATACTTTTCTGCACAAAATAAGTTCCTAAAAGGCTAACTTAGGTTTTTTTGTAACCACAATCAAGAAAGTAAGAAGGGATGGGTGGGTGGGGGAAGGGGGGGGGGAAGGGGGGGAAGTAATTCAGACAATCTGTTTCTGCTAAGCTTTAACGTATACAAATTGCTTTCCTACCCAAACAATGCCCAATGCCATTTTCCTCATTTTATACTTTCAAGGAGCCAAAGCCACTAGCAGCGTACATAACTGTGTTAGGATGCTGATCGCAGGAATTATTCATTCTAGGCATTATTTGTTCAGACTTGAACCTTTTCTCCTGTGTGAAGAAAACAAAGGAAATGCTACCTGCAGTCAGACAGTCACTATTTTTAGCTTGGCTGGAACGTAGCACCAAAGGGAGTGGTATGATTTTTCTCATCTGCATGTTGCTGTGCATCATGATCTGGCTTTAGAGCAACCTCGTCCTGTGCCATCTGGGAGGAGTTGGGGAGTGAGCAGGGCTGGGTGACCTGCGTCTGTGCGTACTCCACTCCACCCCACTGCTGTGCCTACAGGATTGCTGGAAAATAATAACCACAGCCCAGTGGTTAAACCAGTATAAATGGGGATGTGCTGTGCTCAGGGCATGGCAATAACAGCTGATGTGGTCAGCCACCCTGACCAAAGCCACACATGAGAGAAGCTCAGCTCCTGTGACCTGCCACACTGGGCTTTGCTCATATAATTCATTAGGGGCTGGGTCTGGCACTAAATCCAGCACCCTGCCAGACCCTGCTAAACCTCGGTGTCTGGACAGAGTGAAGGGTGAACGCTGCCTTTAATGCACTCTGTATATTTAAAGTGATAACCTTTCCCCTGTGCTTTGACTCCTGTGACGTACAGAAGTGAACCTGGACAGTTCCCCACAGCAGGCAGCTAAGCAGAGGTGCATTCCCAATGAGCTATATCCCAGCTCTGGTGCAGCCTGCTCTTCCTCCTCTTACAAATGGAAGGGAGATGCAAGCTCACAGGCTGCTGTACCATCATAAACTGTCCTTGTGCAGCTAGAAATTGGAGAGGAAAACGTGGCCCATAGGCTGCTGGGATTCGTACTAACCCATTTGCAGGCAGAGTCCTGGCTCTGAGTGAGATTTTGTTTTCTCCCATGTGTGGTAACTCAGTGACACAGAATTTTCCAGCAATAAAAGAAAAAAGGATCCGCCTTTTTCAGCTTGGGTTTTGTGTGGACTTGCATTTGTAACATCATCTGCAACTGCGATCTGAGACAATTGAACCTGCCGAATTGTTGCTGTGTGTGTATACACTGTGTGATGCCAGCAGAGATTATACAACCTCCCTTCTCATTGCTGTTGCTGCCTGGGGTCTGCCATTTCTCTACCAGTTAAATGTGTCATATTTTTATTGAGTAGCTATGTCCCAACACTGAGAAGCGCTAAATACAACACAGGCATAATGAATCATGAGCTCTGGTAGACTTGCTCAGCCCCAGGAGGCTGTCTGGAGCTGGCCAAGGGGTGAAACACCGTGGCTTAACTCTTGTTTTTCTTCACTTTTGCCTGCAGAGTGCACCCACGGGAATTATGAAAACAAGACTCATCCTGCCTGTATGAGAATCCAGGATCCTGAATGGGCTGGGAGCAGGAACACGCCTGGAAGGGCGAGGGGAGTGAGTGGCATTGTGCTTTGTTCTGCCCAACATCCCTCTCCAAGGAGGGAGCTGGCTGAGCATTGGTTTTACTGGAAAAGCCTTGGTCAGTGCAGTGAGTAGTGCAGATGAAATGTGAATGAAAAGTGAAATGAATCCCTTGGTCAGTGCAGCCTCCTGTGAGAAGACCAAATTACATGGAGAATATAGACAGAAGTGCACATGTGTGTACCATGCAGCCCTTTCTCTCTGCTAAGGGCAGGGTAGGCTTCAGGACAGACATCAAAAGATAAAGCCTGACTGGACAGGAACCAGAGATATGCAGCGAGAAGGACCATAGAACTTGGAAATATGACCTATGAGGGCAGACTGAGTGAACTGGCTTTGGTTGATCCAGGGGAAGGAAGACTAGTTAAGCCTGTAAGTATACAAAAGACTACCACAGAGTAAGGCAGTAAATTGGTCTCCCAGTGGGGATAGGGAAAAAACTGCAATAATATATTTGAAAATACATTGAGAGAAACTTTCCAACTGCAGGATAAGCACCCCCTGGAAAACATTCAGATCAGGATATCTCCATCAATAGGTGTCTTTCAGACCAGGTTAGACAAACCTCTGTCAAGACTGCCAGTTTGGGCAGCAAGGATGGACGATGTGGCTTTTGGGGTTTGTCTTTATTTCAATTGTTTTTCATTAGTTGGTTTCACTGTGCTGAAGCAAGAAGCCATGGCACGGGATGAAGGCATTCATGCATGTGGTAGGACTTTCATGTGACTGGCTGCCCAGCACTGTAGCTTCCCTGTGGTTCAACTACAGTCATGTTAGATACCTGAGGAGGTGGCAACTCTTGGTCAGAATTAGTATCACAGAGACATGCAGCAACAGCTACTGATGCTGGGTGTGCTACAGAAGTCCCTGAACTGGCCTGGGACATGTCTGACGCAGGAGAAGAGCGTGCTAGGACAAAAGGCTTCTTTTTAATGCTGCTCCTCTTTTGAGGCTGCCCGTCTCTTTAGAGTGACAAATGGAGAGGAGTGACTGTGACTCCCAGTGCTTACCCTGTAACTGCTTGTTCTTCTGCAACATAGGAAACAATGACTTGGATGAAGATGCTGACTCTGGCTTTTTCCCAGAAAGAAGCACTGCCGGAAGGTAGGAGTCATGAGCCTGAAAAAGCCAGCACAGCTCAGCACATCCCTCGGGAATTTGGATGCTCTCACTCGCTCCCCCTGTGGTCTCCTCTCCTGCTTCCCTGCAGGCATGGCAAGGGAAGTGGGTGAGGTTTACCCTGCGGAGGCTCCTGGGCTCCAGCTAAGATTGCTTTTGATTATCTGCAGATTTTGTAAGTTTCCAAAGTTAGGGGAAGGTTTCCCTCCACCATGGGTGGTCTCTTCAGGCACTGTCAGGGACTGAAGCGTCTGTACGGCAAGAAGGGAGGGATGAACCGTGTCAAGAGGCGGGATTTCTGTACCATTCGGGCAGGTGAACGTTTAAGCTATGCTCCTTTCTGCAAGTGGTTGAGCATAAGGGGAATCTGAGATGGAGCTGAGGACCGTGGGCACGGGACTTCTGCAGGAGGGAAGTGGGTGTGTGGAGAGGCAGAAAGCAAGCCTATGTGTTAGCGACTTGGAGCTGCCAACGGGGAGGCTTTTGTCCAGCTCCTTGCAGGTACCTACCTCCACACAGTCTAAGGACTGGGGAGATGCTCAATGAAGGATCTCAGCCCAGACTAAGGCCTTCCTGAGCAAACATGACATAAACATAACGCAATTAGTGGTAAATGTGGGCTAGCCAGCTGCCCATCTCACTCATATCCCTACTCAGAAAAGCCACAGGAACTTATCTCCCATCAGATTCAGTGTATACATAAGGTGTAAACAGCTTTAAAATGCTGGGAAGTGTACTAAACCATTTTGCCTATGCAGGGAAGTGCCTGCTGTGAAACCCCAGCTCCAGTGCTCATGCTCCAAGAGCATACTCTCAGCAAAGGGACACAAAAGGGTGTCATACAGAAACCCAGCCAGGTCCTGAGCCCTGTGCCGTAGCCATGCCTGGGCAAGCAGGCACAGCCTCCCTGATTCTCCCTGATGGCCAGTGTACCAAGCTGCATGAGAGAAGCACCCTATCCAGCCCCTCTGCAGCCAGGGAAGGGCACCAGCAGCTGACTGCATTGCACATGAAAGCTGCATTGAAAGCTGAACCCTTTGGTTCTCCCCCAGATGCCTAGCTCAGGCTGGTGTACCCGGGGAATGCAGTGTGAACCTGCACTCTGCAACAGCCCTGAGGGTTATTTCTTTTATGGGGGTTTATTTCAAAACACTTTCTATGTCCTTGCAGATGTTTCATCTTCTCTGATGACAGAAAGCCCTCGGGAAGACGTTATTCTGTTGGGAGTGAAGAGGTCCACATGCAGGGGAGCATCATCTGCTGCCGAGGTGGGAGTAACACACAGTGAGGTGCTGAGTCTGGACACAAACTTGTAGGATATGACCTCAGACCAGAGGCTGACTCCTTTCAAGGTGGAAAACCATAGATACACCCCAGAAACAGCTTTCTGGCTCTTTCCAGTTGGGCAGTGGAAGTGCAGCAGCCAGGGTAGGTATGGCATATCATGTCCTGAGCCCCAATAGCCCCCAATGGGGAATGGTGCTGATTTAAGCAGGACCCTTGTTCTGGCTTTTGTGGCCAAGGGTCTCTCCTCTTCCAAGCTTTTATGCTAACAATAACCATGTTAGCTTGCCTGAAGCCTAGTTAGTACACAACTTGGCAAAATGTATTTGCACGCACTGATCCCTGCTTGTGCTTGTCTGTTTGACAGAGAAATAGAAGGGGCTGAAAGTGGGTACAGAATGAAACTTGTTTAAGCCAGAAAGCAGCCACAAACCCTGTTTTCTGTGCAGCGAGCAGCCTTCAGGCACACATGGGAGCCCTGGGCTAGTGAGTTCTGCCGGGACTGGCAGTGTAATAGTGCACTGGGGTAAGCTGCCTGCATCTCGTAGTAATTGAGACAGAGGGCAGCTTTGCTTCGGGGAAGTCTAGTACAGAGGGACTGTAGCTTGTCCCCTTCAGAGATACCTTGACAAGCTGAAGAGGTGGGACTATGTGAACTTCATGGAGTTCAACAAGGCCAAGTGCAAGGTCCTGTGCATGGATGGGCTGGAGCAATCCCAAGCATAAACACAGGCTAGGGGAGACTGGATTGAGAGCAGTCCTGATAAGAAGGACTTGGGGGTGTTTGGTGACAAAGAAGCTCCCCATGACCTGGCTTCAGTGTGTGCTTGAGCTCAGAAACCACCCCTGTGCTGGGCTGCAACCCCAGAGCATGAGCAGCAGGTCAAGGGGGATTCTCCCCCTGTGCTGTGCCCTGGTGAGACCCCCCCCCGCAGTCCTGATCCAGCTCTGGGGTGACAGCACAAGAGGGATGTGGAGCTGTTGGAGCGAGCCCAGAGGAGGCCATGGAGATGCTGCAAGGGCTGGAGCAGCTCTGCTCTGGAGCCAGGCTGAGAGAGCTGGGCTCGTTCAGCCTGGAGAAGGGGAGACCTTAGAGCAGCTCCAGTGCCTAAAGGAAACCTGGAGAGGGGCTTTTGACAAGGGCCTGTAGGGACAGGACAAGGCGGAGCAGGAGGATGGATGGGGATGAGGATGCCGCGGTGCCGCTGCCCTGCTCTGGATGACTCGTCCTTTGCCGGTACCATTTCCCACCTCACCCCTCCCGGTGCCCGTCGCTGGGCGGCAGCGCGGGGTCCGCCCCGTACCCGCCGCAGGCAGCCGGCGGCACCTCCCCCAGCGCCGCTGCCCCGGCCCGGCCCCCGCCAGCCGCCCGCACTGCTTCAGCGCAGCGCCGCGCGGGGGAACGGCGCTTAAATGCCTCGGGCTCGGCGGCAACAAAGGCGGGCGGCGGTGAGTGAGTGAGTGTGTGAGTGACTGATGGGGCCGGGGCTGGGGTCGCAGGTGCTGCGGGAGGGGAAGCGCCGCGCTCAGGGCAGCCCCGTGGCTCCCGGGGATTTCAGCGTGGCTGGGCTGGGGTGCGGCTCCGGGGAAGGGTAGACCTGGCAGCCGGTCTGGAGGGAGCGCTGCTTTGACTGACAAGCGTAACTTTCATTAATTCCTGCTATTGTTGTTGTTATTATCATTATTGTTATTATTAGTTATCATTATAACCCCGTAAATACAAAGTTGTAAGCTGTAGTTGCTATGGCCGTGGCTGCCCATGCTGTTCGTCGTCTACCCCGACCCCCCCCGCCAGCCCCGGTTGGCTCCGTTCCCCCAGTAGGGGTGGGAGGTGGCGGGTCCCGGTCCCGGTCCTGGCGACGTTGCCACTCGGCGGGGCTTTGCCAGCGGAAAACCGAGTCGATGCTGGCCGGGGAGAGGGGGATGAAGCAGATAATGCCGACGAAAAACGTACCCTGAGCTTCCAGCCCCTCCCTCTCCTCGCATTTGTGCTTATTCTCATCTGAATTTAAGGCATCCTTAAGTCCGCACGGTGCTACGAGTTGTAGCGGGGGATACGGGCTGTAATTAATTTTAGAAGTAGCTTGATCCGTTTTTAGCTAGCTCACCGTAGGTCCGGCTGCAGAGGGGAAAAAATGCCATTGAAGATGTTTTCTGTGATGCTGTGCACAGTGTTTCCTTTCGGGGCAGATCTTCGTTACTGTATTTACAAGCCCCCCTCCCTTGCAAATCGGGGAGGTAAGGGAATGGAAACTGCTGCTGCTCCATGCTGTTCGTAACTGCTTGCTGCAACTGGATCGAATCACTGACAGTGTCAAAACAAAAATATCCAAGAGGGGAAAAGGTGCCATCGCAGGCAGCTGGATGTAGCAGGAGATTTTCTTGGCTGTGAGGGAGTGAGAAACCAGAGCTGCCTATTAATGTGTGAGGAATGAATTGCTATGTGTGACTCTTTCCTTAGTGGCACACTCACCAGACTGCTTAAAAGGCTGGTAGCTAACCTAGCCGGGTTTTGTAACAACCCTTACATGAAGGATTGTGGAATAATTCTTCTGAGCTGGGCTAACCTTAAATATCCCTTCTAACCCTATGATTCTGCGTGGGAGCACAGAGAGGCAGTGGAAGGAGACCCCAGCAGCATGGGACAGACTTAACCTGATGTGGGGTACCAAGGGGGAAGGGGGAAGCTTTCTGTCCTCAGCTTTTGCTAAAAAGCCTGGCTATTGGCCTTGGTCTTGCATCTTGGATTGTTGTCCTCATCTGCTGGGGTCCAGGGCAACGTAAGGTAGCAAGCACACATCCCTTGTACTTCCTAACCATTGCCTTTGCCTGGGTCATCATGTCATGGGAGGTTTAGGTAGACCTTTGAGTAACTGAGGAGTTCTTACAGACATGAGTAATGCTGAGTATTCCCTGTGAGGAAGAATATTCCTGGGAAAAAAACTTCCCCAGAAGGCCCCTGGGACAGAGGCCAAGAGTGTCTAATGAGGCAACCTTTTTCTATGAGCTGCAGCTCTTGCTGTTGGAGGGTGAGGGTTTGGGGGCCATGTGGACCTCCAGGGGCAGGCAGCCCCTCTCTAGGTCTCCTCTCTTCTGGGCAGCCGATCTCGTTTCTGCATACGCTGCGGCTTTGGAGGTGATGCAGGTGCTGAGTCTAGGAGCATTCTCTTCTGGGTTAGCTGATACATCAGTTTGCTGCTGGAGGTGATAGTGCAGTTCCGTGGTGCTGGGAACAGGACAGCCATGTGGGGCTGCAGCTCTAGATAAACCTATCCACTGGCCTGCTTTCCTTCATTTTACGGTCGCTTCCCTTAGGTATGCAAAATGCTGTGGAAGGAGCTCTCTTTCAGACTGCATTTATAATGCATTAGTGGCAGCTTTGTTGGGTATATATCGTGGGGTCCTCTGCCTAAAGGTGTGCCTCTGGCAAAAGCAGTGGCTGTCCTGCAATGAGAGGTTAGACACCTTATGCACTGAGCTGGTGCGTTATCACTGGTGCTGGGGGTGTATGCATCTCTTCCTGACAGCAGACACGAGGTTAAATTCCAGAAAACAGGAGGATCATGACTACCTGGACAAACAAATATTTGTTGAAGAGGCTTTGGTAAGCAGGGTGATTGCTCTGGTGGCTACTGTTTGCTTGCAGATACACTGTAACTGGGCTAAACCTGCACTCTGGAAGTAGAGGTGCCTCATCTTTCACTGAGACCTCATTTTCTGGGACAAAATAGACAAGTATAATCATAATTTGAAGCGACTGCTGGCAGTCTTCTGCTGCAGGAGCTGGAAATGCATGAGGGGAATTAGAGGCAGTAGTATGAGGTAGCCAGGGATGGCCTAATGAATGGCAAAGCAGATGAAGCCAAGAATGCTTCACACCTTTAACTCTGTCCTTGAGACTGGTGCAAAAGCAACTTGGCTTCAGAAGCAGATTACTGTCTACTCAGAGGCTTATTTCCCTGCCTGCCTCTGCCAGAGGACTGCCAGCTCACTGAGGGCAGTCCTCTGCCAAAGGTAGTGCAGACATGACACCACCTCCATGGGCATCTTAACCCCAGGTTCTTGGGAAGTGCATGTTTCTCCCTGCTTCTGTGTTGCTCCAGGCTGGAAGAAGCGGAGGATGATAATAGGTGCTGTCCGAGATCCATGTCAGGTTGTCCTGCTCTTTGCTCTCAGCCTGACTGGTGTGGAGGAGATGTTCAGACCTAAGCTCTTCCAGCTCCTGTTCTTCTCCGCATGTGCTCGATCTGTTGCATAGGCAGCTTTTGAAAAGGCAGCAGTGATGCAGGGGGTCATGGTCCTGCTCCTTTTCCACAGGAGTCTCAGTGGTGTGCACAGCCCTCGGTGAAAATGTCATTTTCTTGTTCTCAACTCAGCATCCATAAAGAGCACAATAACAGATCTGACAGAATTGCTTTGATGATCTCTCATGAAAGGCACGGACCTTTTCCACGGCCCATGGATTTTGCTAGGGAGATGTAAAGCACAATTCTGCCCAGGATTAGCAATCAAAGAGCATTATGAATCAATCTGATACTGTGTCTTAACCATAGTCCTTCTTAGATTGCTGACCTACATATTACAGCTCTCCCTATAAATGCTTTGCTGAGGACAGGTTTTGTTTCTGAGTGTAAGGTGGCCCAACTGCTTGAGATCTTTGTATTTAGGGAACATTTTCATTGAGATTATGTAGGGATGACTGAAATTCCTGGGGGCTTCAGGTATATTTGAAGGCTGTGCTGCTTGACTGGTAACTTGCCTAGGAAGTGTGAGATGTAAGTGGCTACTTTGAGTGTTCTTTTAATTGTAATTGTATTAAGAACCTAGAAGATGAAATGATGGGCTTTCAGGATAAAATGCTCTTAGGTGTCTAGCCAGCAGGAATCATTGTTATGAGATGCTCTAATCACTTGTGAGTAAAAACCTTGGAAAAAAAAATATATTTGAGCCCCTTGCTTATAGGTAAAAATTAAGGCTCGTTGCC